GTTTACACATGTCACGACTTCTATAGATAGAGAGAGCGGGAGAGGAAGTTGAATAAGTATATAAGTTTTTCTGTATTGCCATGTTCTGCGCTGCCCGTTTGCACCAGCACATTCAACTCAAGGGTGTTCGATGCACGTGCACAGAATATTATGAACCACCTTAAAGTGCCTTAAATCTGTGAACGGCAAAAAGTTTGGAGAACCACCACCCAGGCAATTACAGGTTTAGGTGACTTGGGCAGCGGGCGCATGCAAGATCAAGGTCTTAGGTGACTATATAACTTGTACCAATCTCGAGTGGTGTATAACTCTCCTTGCCTATGCGATCTCTCTTTGCGAGTTTCTAATGTAGTTTTGTGAGGTCCCGAGTCCCCAAGAAAAGAGGGCAGTGCTTCGACAACACATTCTGGGAACGCTCTGTTCGCAGACACGAGTTACATCTGTTGCCTACTGTGTCTTGATGCCTTGACGTCTGAGCTGTCCTTTAATGTCTGCTTCTGATGACAGATTAAAACCTAAAACCCTAAACCCTAAACCCTAAACCCTAATTACCCACTGCAGGAGCTGATACCTAAAGGCTTGATTTGTGGAACTAAGCCTCAGGCTGTAATGCAGAGGCCCTGTAGTAAAGGTTCGGGGTTTAGTGCTGTTGGCTTGGCAGGTTCAGGGTTCGGGGGCCAATGGGTGGGCATCCTAACCGGCTCCCAAGCAGTAGCTAAGAGAAGTCCCAAGTGGCTCCAATGGAGTTTCGAACTGTCCGGGGGAGGGCCCTCCCAAGCAGAGGCGAGATGACACAACCAGCAGAAGTTCCTCTGCACCAGACATAGATCCTTATTGCATTGAACCTCGAATCGTTGAAACTCCTCAGAAAGCCACAGGTGGGATGGAAAACTATCTATAGACGTTAGGCGGTCGGGCAGCAGCATCCGATGGCTCCAGAGTTTTTCCCAAAGAGCTAGGGGTTTAGGGTTTAGGGTTTAGAGTTTTTCCCAAAGAGCTTCCAGAATCCTTATTCCCAGGTCTCAGGGGCTGATAGCATTAGAAATTTAACAAGGTTCAGGGTTTAGGGTTAATTTTGCACCTTTGATATAGACCCAAATAGTTGGATCCCTGACATCAGGACCAAAGTATGACCATACGTATGTAAAAACACCTCCTTAAACCCTACAAGGCCATTACATTTTTGTTTACCCACATTCGTTGTAAGCCACCCGAGCCTCCGAAGGTCAGCGACACAATTGGCTACAAGGCCATTACAGATATCCCAAGTTTTCATGCAGAGCCTTTCAGAAAAATCGCGGCGGCATAAGATGCGTGACGATCAGACGTAAAATCTGCCATCCGTGGCTGCTCTCACCCGCAGCGACTGCCCAGAAGCTCTCCTCCTTTGAGGAGAGCACGGGCACTCGATTCGTGCTTCAAGCGATCCCCTCATAGTCCATACGGGAGTTTACTAGGAGTTTGGGGTTGATGATTTTCAGGGCTTAGATTTGTAAGCTTTGGGTTTGGGGTTTAGGGTTTAATTAAGGGTTTAGGGTTTAGGGTTTGGGGTTTAAGGGTTTAGGGTTGAGGGTTCAAGGGCTTAGGGTGTACAGCTTAGGGCAGGTTTTGGGTGCCTAGACAGGGAATCGAAGTCACCACAGACGCTGGAGGGCTTGCCACCCCGAGCCACCACTTTGAAGTCCTTAAAGCCCGACTGGCTATACACTTCCAGCCCCAAGTCCTGTAAACATAGCTAAGAAAGAGGAAAACCGAACGTCTACACCCTGTCAAGCTCACAAAACACAACCCTAAACCCTAAACCTTAAAGCCCTAAACCTTAAAGTCGAACCAGTCGTAACTTGATCTCCTGCAAGAACACCTAACCGCCGTGGCCTCTGAGGGATTTCAGCTGCACTCGACCGGTAATTTACTTGTACGTGGTGGGATGCGGCCCGGCTGTCGACGTTCTGAACTCCCATTTGGTTGTGCCAGGCTTATACAAGATTTAGGGTTTCAGGATATTTGGCTTCGAAGCGAATCATAAGATAGGGAAACTCGGGTGCGCTAAGTCCTGAAAGTAGTCTGGAACCCTAGGGTAAACTTGGTACTAGTCCATTAACCCCTAATTGGGCTCGAGTAGGGCTTGGCGGCCCTCACTGTGCCCTAAACCGCCCTAGCCCTCAACCCTACCGTCCCCTGCACGTGGCCATGGAGGCTTACTATAAGGTACTGCCCCGATGCAGTAACAGTCGATAATAAGGGTACTACTAAGGGCCTTATCTAACTATATTTCTTCAGCTGTTACTGAGCGGGGGCAGTATCCAGCCTTTCTGTTTCGTAGCGAAGGCAGGGGGCTTGATCTAGGGGCCTTGTTAAATCTTACGACAGACAACAAGCAGAGCCAGCACCCAGCGCGCATCCTTGCCACAACATGAGCCTGACTCATCTTCCCAAAGGCTCGACATATAGGCCGACACGAAACTGTAGTGTTATGCCAGCATACCGTATGATATTGGTGCACCCTCAACTAAACCCTAAACCCTAAACCCTAAACCCTAAACCCTAAACTAAAAAACTACTCATTGTGTGAACTCAGACAGAGGTCACAGGCACGAACTTGGCTTTGGTCATCGGCTCTGTAACCTGACGACCCAAAGGCATGCTAATATAGGGTTTAGGGTTTAGGGCTTAGGGTTTAGGGTTTAGGGCTTAGGGTTTAGGGGTTTAGGGTTTCCGAAACCCTAATATAGTCCCCTAAATAGTAGGATCCTTATTATCAGGACCCCTAAATGAGGTACCCCCAACGTCGGAAACTTCCATATAGGGGCCTGAACGATTGGAATAGGGATTTGGGGTATGTTATGGCAATTAGTTATAACCGAAATGAGTGAATAACGAGCCCTAGGGAACAGCATCGGCAATCGCTCAGGTCCCTATACTATGTGAGATCAGGGTTAAGGGCTGGGAGTGGATATGCAGGAGAAGCCACACAGGTCCAGGGTTTGGGGCTTTATCCAAACCCAAATACGTATATCGTCCATGCCGACACGCCCCCAAACGACAAAATCCTAAACCCTAAACCCTAAACCCTAAACCCCAAACTCTTGAAGCCTCCTCGAAATCCTAGACAGCCCCGAAACATGCCCGGAACTCTCAAACTCGACGACCTTTGCTCAGAAGTTCCGAAAGTCCCACGCCCGGTTTAGGGTTTAGGTTTTTGAGGATTTCGGGTTTAGGGTTTAGGGTTTAGGATTTAGGGGTTAGGGGTTTTTAGGATTTCAGGTTTTGGGTTCAGGGTTTTGGTCAACCCAACCAAAGTTTAGAGCTTGGAAAAACTCCATACCATCGAAGAGGACTGTGGGACGTGGACGAAACGGGGGCATGACTACGAACTTGTTCTATAGATCTGTATACCAACCTCCAACTCTCAACCCTAAACCCTACACCCTAAACCCGAAATCCTAAAAACCCCTAACCTCTAAATCCTAAAACCCTACTGCCTAAACCCTGAACCCTAAATCCTAAAACCCTAAACCCTAAATTCCCACCCGGCCCGGTTGGGCCGTTCCCACCCATAACTGGGTGCTCAGCCACTGAAGATGCCCGGCAGCCTTTACACCCGCACTGGGCCAAACAATGGGTGGAGCCTATGGAGAGTGGTCGAATACAGCCCTGT